GATGGATGGATGGATGGATAATTGTGGTATTTAGCCGATAACGATTAATATAACAATTAATCCCCTGGAGTCACATGACCAATTTAAACCCCTCTAGTGGGAAAGATTTGCTTTCTGTAAAAACATCTTTTCCAAATTTTGTCAAAAGTACAAACTTCAGCCTATATATCAATTTTGAAATTGTGTTGCTAGACCAAGTAAAACCGGAGTTATGATAAATAAATTACAGAGATTTTTAAAAAAAAATTGTTATATTTGAAGTGGAGAGGAGCACAGAGCAGACTGACTGGGGAAATTTTCATTCAGTCTTCCTGGTGGCGTTAATTGAATTAATCATTAAGTACCAAAAATAATTGATGAAAGTTTTTTTTTTGACGATTAATTGCACACGATACGATTTTGCCCAACTCTACTATATTCTAAATTCAGCCAATCAAGGTTAAGACAAACTCTGCCCATACAGACAAGAAACGCCCCTATGCACTGCAGGGACCCTACTTGAAACATTTAGGGAAGATTGTTTCAGTTTCATTGATTTTCTTAYGAAATTTAGATCCYCAGATTATGAGCCACAAAATCTGTAAATGGGAAGAAAAGTTTGAGTTGGCCAGAAAATAAATCACTGAAGTATATTACATCAAACTGCAAACAGAAAGAATAAGCTGCTACTTCAAACAGGTATMTAAGGATTTTATGGCTTCACTTTTACAAACTGCCGTAAACTTTGTTGAACAGAACACGTGTTGTCTTTACCCATTATATTCATGAATCATTAAATCACAACAGTTATTTAAATCTAAGTTCATTAAGTAATGACAGGAAGAATGGAATAGAGCGTAAAAGTACCTTTTTCCATGCACCACGGCTCCGGGGTCTTTAGATAAAGCCTCCAGCTCCTGCACCTCATCCACCAGGGTCTTAAAACAGGCCTTCTTCACTCTGTAAATCAAACAAGATTCAACCACATCAACATAATGGGATGTTCATAGGTCCACTTTAGATGCATAAAAGAGAAATAACGTTCTCTAGTTTTGCATGAATCTGCTGTGAACTGATGAGAGCCAGGCCCAAACAGCTCCTGTGGAGTTTTCACAGAATGGAAGCTCGATCAAAAACGCAGGCAGGAAGAATTTCTTCTGGCGATAGGAGAGATAATGGAGGAATTTCCTGCATTAGGTGTGTGTGTGTGTGTGCATGTGCGTGTGTGTGTAAAGAAGAGTAAGGCGAGCGGAGAGAAAACTCACACTTTGTAGGCCACGTCGAAGATCAGTGAAGTGACCGGGATGAAGAACAGGCCCATCCAGAAGACCCCTGAGCTGAACATCATATTCGCCTGTGGTACACACACACACACACACAAAGATACACACTTAATATCGAGTCACTGCAGACAATGCAGGGTTCAACTGCTCACCAGATAAAGAGGAGTTCTTTAAAAGAAGAAACAAGTGATACAGAAGAACTGTCTCCGAGCTCTTCTCTGCTCCAAACAAACTGTTATGTTACTGAAACGGAGCCGATCGGTTCAAATAACCTGCTGAAGGTGAGTTAATCCTCCATGACTACATGATCCCGTGTTTTTGTTTGGATCCCATTCACCTCCATAGCCTTCAGGGCTGAGGAAGTACCTGTGATGTTTTTTAGGAAGATGAAGCTTTTGAAAAGAAAAACAGCTCCGCTACAAATTGTGTTGAAAGCTTCTGTCAAAGAACAAATAAAGACTTGATGTCCATAGTTCTTGCAATAAAATGKTTATAACAGATCACTACTGGTGAGAGGTGAATTTGGTTGCAYGTTGATTAGAGAGCAAAGTGTAAGGTTGTGATTTTTTTTAAAAAATCCCTACTTTATTCGCTGCTCCTCCACGTCGAGAGGAGCCAGCTGAGGTGGCTCGGGCATCTGGTTAGGATGCCTCCTGGACGCCTCCCTGGTGAGGTGTTCCAGAGACGTCCCACTGGGAGGAGATCCAGGACACGCTGGAGGGACTATGTTTTTCAGCTGGCCTGGGAACGTCTTGGGATTCCCCAGATGAGCTGGCCCAAGTGGCTGGGGAGAGGGAAGTCTGGGGCTCTCTGCTTAGGCTGCTGCCCRCGCGACCCGACCCCGGATAAGCGGCAGAAAACGGACGGACCAAATTCTGCTAATAATAGTCTTGATTGGTGGCTGTGTGAAATGCTTGCCAGTCTGTAAAGGCAATCCACTCAACAAAGGTGTCTTGTGTCCCATAACTCCTTTTMAATGAAGTAAGTAATGCGTTATTTGAAAACTGTAAGTAACAAATGTTTATTTCATGAGTAATGAGGCTGAGTTTTAAGTTCAAAGTGGGGAGCAGACTTTGGATCGCCTCGGTGGAGACGAATGCTTCAAGCTCTCCGAGTTGTTTGCTTTGGCCCAGGCCACTGAAACTTTCTGTCATTACATGTCAAAGTGTCCAACCCGTGTTCGCTGTGTCGTATCGCACCGCTTGTTTCAACTGCTGAGGCCTCTCGACAGCATCTTTCCTTCAGGATGCACACACACACAGATCAGTGTCAAAGCTATCAAAGTACTCAGTTTGCCCAAATGACCTAATCTGTTTGCCATTACCCGCTAATTGACCTTGATGTTAAACAAAACACTGAGGGAGAGGAAARTCAAAATGACAGGAAATCAAAAATGGTCTTTTTTCCCCTACAGTTTGAGATGAGACACAGATATAAAAGCTTTCTGTGTCACCTGAAGCTAAAAACATGTGAAAGTAGCACAGGATATTTTTTATATCAGTTTTAAAATTCGACAGTCCCCAGTGGGAACACTTGTTTTTTTTTTTCTTTGGGGGTTATATGTCGGTTGAATTATTTTTGTTTTCATCCAGAATATCTCACATTTTAATGGGTCTGTTTAAGCTGCCCAGAGATTCTTTTGAAAATAAACCATGAACGTGTTCACAGCAAACGAAAGTCTAGAAGCACAAAAATAAATGATCTCGTTCACAAGTTCAATCCTTGTACGATATAAATTTATCACCATATATAACTCTGAACTACAAATGATATTTAATCTGATATTTAAAAACAAAACGGGCAGTGAAACCTCAGAGAATAACTTACACAAACACGAGGCTCAACTGTGGAAACTGTAAGTAAAGTAAGTAAAGCTAAAACCTAAATAAACCACATTTATCAAGTTGTCGTCGCAGTTGGAAAATCCAAACAAATCCAAGTAGTTGCAAACAACAAATGTTTGTCTGCAGGCGTCTGGAACCGCTCCATGACTTCGAGCGCAGCTGGCAGTGTTGGTGGACTCTGCGTGTCTCATACCGGGGGCCCCCTGGGAGCTGGACAGGGGGAGAGAGGTCCAGAGAGCTGGGCTGTARTTTTTAGGACAAACTAATAAACTTGTCTGGTCGGACAGACAGTAGTGTCCTCTGGCATGGAGGGGTGTGTTTTCATAGACCACGACCGTCTCTATTATTGCTGCACACTGAGGCACAGACAGATTAGATGCAGGACTAGATGGGTACAAAAATGTGTCAATAAGTGCTGCTGTAACATGAATGTTAAAAGGCAGTGGACCCAAACTTTAGGAGTCTAGTTGACAACACAAAAAATAGGCTTTGCCTTTTATCCACCAGCATCATTCAGCCTCAGCCTACTTGGTGCCCACCTCAGCAGCCAGCCCTCACATTTCTGATTTAATCCAGTCTACTGATAAAATGAAGGCATTATGATTTCTTCTAGTTCTTCAATAAATATTATTTACTATTATTGTGGTTTTTAGACCTGGATTTTTTTTTTGTCAAAGTAGTTAAAGTACAGCTTTTGGACAGGTTGGTTTCTGGGACTTTTACGTATGAACTTTTTATTTACATTTTCAAAATTCAAGGGAAAACTGTGTGTCCAGCAAGAAAACTGGGACATCCACTGAAAAACAATTAAAAAAGGTACTGTATATAGTCAACCCCCGCAAAGTTGTGTTTCAGAGTTTGCGGACTCAGTCTTTTGCAGATTTTTTCATGAAACCTTACTACTAGTAGTTTGCAGTAAAGTAAACCTTACGGAAACCGGAAATACAGCACTGTAAGGAACGGCAATTCTTTTGTTCTAMTGGATTTACAAACTAAATTTTTAAGAACAATARAATRTACTAACTTTGTGACATAKATATTAATGTACATGACCCATGCCCTGTGCACATGCTCCGCCCAGAGCACAGCATTACCGCCTTCTAACAGTACAGTGTGGCGTGTAGCTGCTAACTGTTCAGCTCTTGTGTGTTTTTGTTTTGTTCTTAATATTATGATGTCACTCCAAACGCGCTGTATGATTCGCGGGTACTCTAAGACAGTGGTTCCCAAACTTTTTGTCTTCTGACCCACAAAATATCCATGGCAAAAACTTGTGACCCCAAATATTACTGGTCTGAGTACACAAACTTTGTTAATAACCCTAAAAACACAGGCTTTTGGCAATCTAAACAGCTTATACACAAATATAAATACTTATTTATACTTTTTTGTGTTTTTGTAATAGTTATAGGGAAAATATTACATCAGCAATTATTTTATTACCCTTTAACTTGATTTCTGGAGATTATCCAAGGTGCTTCATGACCCATAATTGGGTCCCAAGCCCAACTTTGGGAACCAAAGTGCAGTGGTTCCCAAACTTTTCAGCTTTTGACCCACAAAATAGTAGCAGAGACCTGTGCCCCAGCTATTTTTGGATGATACACATTTGTATCAGGTAAACAAAACATGGGCATAGTAACAATATTTTATACTACATTTGTCCATTTTAAATGCACTAACCTCACTCCTTTGTAACAAGCCAAAAATGTAATTAATTCCGAAAATCTTTTCAGGACCCCACCTTGATGTTTCAGGACCCCATTTTGGGTCCCGACCCCAACTTTGGGAAACACTGCTCTAAGAATGTAACACCCGCAAAATCGGGAGATGTACTGCATTTTGTTTGGATCATATTTTTCCTTCAGTTCAGTTTTCTCTTTTCCCTTTGAAGTTTTCTGAACAATAACGTCACAGTATTTGCTGAGGAACTGCTAAATAAGGTCATGGACCGCTGAATAACCATTTTCGCGAATCTGCGGTWCTGCAGGATCATTGGCTACGTTCACACTGCAGGCAAATACGACCCAAATACGATTTTTTTGACCCATCTGACTCATATCCGATTTTTTTATGACAGTATGAACGAGACAAATCCGATTTTTTCAAATCCGACCCAGGCCGTTTCAGTATGTGGTTTTAAATCGGGTATATAACTGATGTTTTCAAAGTGACTGCAGTGTGAACGCTCATGTCACATTCATCTGACTTTTTCATCAGGAGGAGGGGGTGAAGGACCGATTAGACACTAACCTGAAGTCACTGTTTAAATCTGTAGCTCCGTGTGTTTACAGCTCCAAAACAAGTCCATTTGCTTCATCTTTTTACTTTTCATTTTCCACGTAGATAGTACAATAATAACGATGTCCAGCCTGGGTCGCGGAGAGTATCAATCCTAAAGTTATCTACTCGGTCGATACTTTTTTCCAGCTCGTAGTTTCGTTTAAAAAAAAAAGGCTTCATTGGAGCATCCCGGTCAGAGGCAGTTTCAGATATAAACACTGAACTAAAGAAGCAGGTCAGACAATTATTTAATCGGCTCTGATTAAACAACAACTTCCGATTCGATGCGCAAAATGTAGCATCCATGCTAGCTCTGTAAACAAACAAGCCGGCTGATGAGACGTCACGTCTTTTACTGCGCATGTGTGTCACATCAGTGCTGTGTAGCGTTCACACAGGGGTCTGATGCAGGTCACATTTAAAATGTAATGTGAACGTTCACACAAAAAGATTGGATTTTTTCAAAAAAATCGGAACTGAGCATTAAGACCTGCAGTGTGAACGTAGCCATTGTCTTTATTCTCCTCTCYCTCTGGGTCAGACTCCAACATGTAAGGCTGGATGGACAAGTCTTCTGTTGTTAACATCTTTTAATCTATTTGTGAATAAAAAAGTTTCTGCACTGCTAGATAATCATACATCTGCTATCAAACTACAAAAATGGCCAAACTGGTTGGAGTGGACAGTAATCAGGGCAGGATGTGAAGTGTCTCGTTTGAATTTAAAGAGACCAAATCAAAACAAGTTGTTCTCAGATGCACCTCAGAATGGGGGGGTGAAAGAGGGGCTTGTGGAGTTACAATAACCAGGAATTCAGACCAAAGTGTTGCAGTTCTATTTTATTCAAATGTGWAAAGAGTGGATTTAAAAGCATATGTCCCCTTTAAGACATTTTGGAAACTCCCTCTSAGATTGCTTTTGGCCAACAACCATAACCCTAACCTAACCCATAATCCTAATAAAATTATAAAACATAATCCTTGCAAACATCAACACAATTACTTTAATCAAAGCAGGAATAAATGACAAAAAAGCACAACAAAAACTGAAAGCAACAAGTTTCTCAGATGAAACTTCAGTTCAGAAAACCYTTTTCAAACCCTCAGAAGTCTCATGGCTGTCTGTAGGAGAAACTGTAGATCACAGTTAAATTTGTGTTGTTTTTTTGCCAATCATTAGCCAGTAAAGCACAAGAACTAAATGTCCTAAAATCACCCGCTTCAAAAGCAGTGACGATCTAATAATACCACACAAGTCAAACAGTGATGAAAACTGTTCAAAAATACTCTTTTCTATCTGCAGAAAGAACACGCCACCAGTCTTTYCAAACYTATTCCCCAATTAATCAAGAGGTGRCGTCTCTCCTCGTATGCCTACTGATTTAAAACTGTTTTGTGAAGAACAGCTCGGCGTGTTGCATGAAAAATGTASTACAAGAGGCAATATATATTGCATCCATGTTTACAAGCTCTGAGTGTCAGACAYCTGCATCCATCACTGGGAGGCTGTTTTACTGTTTGGAGGACTTTCTTCAGCTTCTTTTCAACTGTCAAACACGCTTTAAGGTCCACTGCAAACAACAATAAACAGCTCCAACTGCAAACTGCACAGGGCTGATGATGGATCATCTGTCTGAAACAAGAATTACATTTCTTCTCTGCTGCTTTTAGAATTATGTACATATAAATAAGTGTGTATTTTACTCAAATGAAAGGGTAAAAATTTAGAAAACCAAAAAAAGAATAGTGGACTTTGGAAATTTTACAAATAATAATCAAGTAAAAAAATACAAAACCATCACTTTCCATAATAAAGACACAGATTAAAGCAGTGCAACAACTAAATCATGTGGGTGTTCTATTCTGCTCGTTGTTTGGATAAATTTTATCTGTGTTTTTACAATAAGTGAAGAAAGTGAGACTAAAGTCTTTCTGCTGATCAGCTCTGCTGTGTTCTTCCATAATGAAATAATGTTTTTTTTCATTATCAGGCAACTTTTATTGCGAAGGACTGAAACGATAAAAGATGTTTAAATTTAACTACATTAAAATCTGACCCAAAATATAAAGCCGTTTGTTAAAAAATTACTTTAAATAACATAAATAAGTCTGGCTGCTTTAGAAACTGATTTTAAGCTCCAGTCCTGACTGTAATCCCATCAACAGTTCATAAACTGACATAAATAACACAAAGTGTAATCCTGGTATGCTGTACAATAACTAATTCCTTGGTAAGATGATTTTGTTCTTATCTGTTGAACACAAACCAGAGGTAAAATTCATGAGCTGATGACAGATATGAGTCTGACAGAGCTAGAAAACAGCTTGCTGCAAGAACTGAAAAACAGCAGAGGAGAATAAAAAGTGAAACTATTAATGCTGTTATCAGAGGCAGCTGAGCCAATGTAAAGCATCTCCTGAGGTGAAGCTAAGCCTCTTAGTGAAGCAGATTACAGTCTGAACTGAATATTCGGACACGRTCTTTGATTTCTGCGCTGGACGTTTGTCAGGTGAAAACAGGATGARGCCTCGTTTGAGGCTGAGCCCGTCTGGGAGTGACCTGTGACCAGCAGACCTGCTGTTTCACAGCCTTTTTTTACGGACGGATCCTGCACCTGCTGTGTCATTTGTCTAAAGAACATTTGGCCCGACACTGATTAATGTGCTCACGTGAAGCTGAGCTCTGCTCAGTGTTTCTTGTTAGGTAGCACTGAGCTGAGTACTGAGTGGGAGCAGAAACAGGAGAAAGAGTTCTGGTGTCTGTTATGCAGTTGGCCCTCGGGCTGTTGTTCAGCCGGCAAAGCCGAGTGGGGGGTGGAGGGGACAAGAAAGAACAGAGGGAAATGTTGAGAGAAAGAATAAATAGTTAAAAGGACAGAGGGCAAATATTTTCTGAGGATTCAGGTAAACAATGAAGAGGCCGTGGTGAAATCTGTGCGACTGCATCGATAATCCTGCTCCTCGGAGGCTGTGTCTCTGATGTGCTCTCGGCTTTCAGAGGGATGTGTCGCTGTTTGATGATATACTGGCATCCCTGAACTAGAGCTGGGCGTAGGGTTACAATCTGCCCACAGGACACCATTACTGTCTTCAGTCAGCTGCTGCGGGGCGTGGATGAAAGCAGCAGGGTGTGCAGACTGGATGCATCCAACATACCTGTTGTTCATGTGACCGAGTGAGGGAGAGGAGAACAGAGCAGCTTTGCTCACCTTGTTCTGTTTATTACTCCCAGGTCATCCYCATACAAACACACACCCCATGTGGATTAAAAGACTCAAAAATACTGTTGTGGTGGTTCCACATCAAAACAAAACATACGCTGTGAGCAACAAAGATTTTATCTTAAGCTTAAAGCCTGACAAAAACATCAACACAAACATACAAAATTCTTTCTTGCACTTTTTCCTTCATATTCTGACAGTGATTACTGTAGATTAGATGGATGACATCATCCTAATGTACACAATTTAAACTTGCAGCTGATTAAATTAGTTCAAAGTAAAACCTGGAAAATAGCAGGTTTGATGTCAGGACATTTACCCTGATCTGAACCTTAAAAACCTTCTGAATTTATCTCATTTATCTGAATGTTAAACAGATATGGCCTTAAAGGTTTTCTTATGTAATGAGAAAAATGTGCACTGTGCAACTTTTTATTTATTTATTT